GGTGTCAGTCCTGTTGGTGTAGTAGAGTTTGCATTGGAGAGAGGGATTCTGTGAAATACTTATAAAGCCTATCAAATGCTTCTCTGGCTTAGGCTGCATGAGGTCTTCAGCCTTCCTTGGGCACATCTCTTCTGATGGTCTTTGCTCTACTGTATTAATTGCTTCCGCTCTGATTTTCTGGTTCTGAAGCATCCATTTTTGGGACAGCCTGTCTTTGTGCTTGAAATCCTTTTGTAGGCCAACATTTCATTTTACGTATGAAGCTGCTGAGCATGAAGGGCTGAATGTTCATGTTTTCCCCCAACACTTCCCTCACTCAGCACACACTTTCTGAGGAACTGCTTCGTACACCCGTATTGGTTCCCTGACCTCCTCCCTGCACAGACTCCAAAAACCCCACCGCTGCTTTAGGCTCTGAGCTCCTGCATATTCCTTCAAAGTAATTGCAGAATGCGGGTCTGTTGGTTAGGCAGTTCTCACTGTCTAACTTTACTGATCCAGGAGTTTAAATAATTTGGCTGCAGCTGTTCATATTAATTCTTTGGGGACTGGAAATAGAACTTAAATACCTTTATTTTTGGAGTTTTATGGCCTCATTAGTAAGTTCTTTCATGCTCGCCAGCTTCTACAGTGTTTATGAACTGAGGATCTTTGGTCTTAAATGATGAAACATCCATTTTCAGTGGTTTATATGACGATAGCTACTGAAATTCCTAATCTGAAATGGATCTGGAGGGAATATACTGAAACCCAAATTATTTACCACACTAAGGAATATCGAAAGTATGCTCAGTTTCATAGTAGATGGTAAATATTTTATCTTCACATCTCCCAGTAGTTCTGCCAGTGTTAATGCTGATGATTTCTTTCCAGATCTGTCTGTGAGAATCTAGGGATGTTTTATTTAGTGCAGCCTCCAGGAACATAAACATGACCCCTTTCCACACTTGGGAGTGTGTAAAACTGCTCTGTAAATGTCAGGGTTTTATTTATTCTTTTTCTGACCCCTCCTCTTAATTAGGTTGCCTGTCATTCTGAGAGTCCTTAGTGAATTGAACCTCAATAAGACGTTTGTGTGAAATATGAATATTCAGGTGCATGAAACTTAGGAATGTTATTTGGGCCAGCGAGAGTGCTTTTTTGAAGCTGAAATGCAGCAGCATTGCAAAAACCAGAAGGAAAAATCAGGATATGCTGTTTGTGTGATGTGACAGTCACATCTTTTTTTTTAATTTGCTGTTGCTGTTTAAGTAATTTATGATAAATATAGCCTCTTCCGAGGGAGTGAGTCCTGCTTCTGTGAAGCATTACGTGCCTTTTGTCTAAAGCAAGTTATAGAACTGTCAGTATGTTGAATCTGTCGAAACAGAACATCGTAACAGATACAATTCTGTGGGAAGACTTACCAGCCTTTTTTACCTTCTGTCCAGTTATAACATAGTAGGTGAGTTGAGCTATACCCCCATCCTAACAGATGGCAGCAATTTCCCTTTCAAATGGCATTTGAAGTGGAGTCTTAAAAGTAACTTCTAGTGCTTGCAAATAAAAACTTATTGCTGCTAAATGTAGGGGGCAAATAAATCAATACTCTAGGAAATCCCATCTCAAAAGGATTTTACATCTGAAGCAATTACTTGTTTCAGTATTCCTTGTATATTGATAAGACTAACAGAAGGTTTATTCTATGGCAAGACCAAAGGAAGTCTTGAATATTAAAAAGATACATAAATTTAATGATCAAATCGGTATGAAGGTCAAGCAGCAGGCTGGGTATATGTGGCATGAGAAGTTTTGGTTACCCTGTCCTGCTGCTAAACCCTTTTAAACATGGCATGTATCTATTCTGTATCTGTTACAAATGCTGCTCCTCTCAGAAGTGTGGAAGGGTCACCCAAAAAGCTTTGAATCCTTGCTTCAGCGTGGCAGGGAGCTGCATGAAGGCAGGTGGTTGTGTCCTCCCGTTGCCTTGCCCTAGTGCAATGAGGGTTTTCCAAAATGCAGCAGGATTTTTGGAATCCCTGTCTTGTCTGATGACTTTCGTCTTCTGGATGAGAAAGCTCCTACATAGGCGTTGCCTACAGTTTACTTGGGCTGTGCAACATGTCCATGCTTCTGGGAACCCTGTTCTGGTATAAGGGCAGCCACAGTAAGTGTGCTTGCAGTTATCAGCGCACTGATAAGTTCCTGCCATGAGCTGTTAGCTGCCAGTCCTTCAGCTGATGGAAAGTACCTGCTGTTTTATCAGTTGAAATCAGTTTATGTAAACCAGTGCTCCTGAAGTGGTGTTACATACTTCTGTAATGAACTTGAGTGTCAAATGTGAGGGATGGAGAGTGCCTTCACCCTTCCCTTGTGGTGAGCAGCAAAGCCAGGGCGAAGGGGCACACTGCTCTGGGGGAAGAGGCAGTGCTGTGGGCCTGAGAGAGGAAGGGGTAATCTTCCAAAGTGGATGATGTTTCACCTTTGTCCCTCCTTCTTCCACTCCAAACACCGTCTGGAGACTAAGGCGGTGTTCAGGTGGGACAGAAAGGAGAAGATGAAGAGGCCCCGTGTGTATAGGACATGAAAGGAAAAGATAGCAGTAGGGAAATCTATATGATGAAGTTAAGCAGTGACTGAAGCCATCACTGAGGATTGTGGGTCATGTTCATTTTGGGGGTTTTTGTGGGTTTTGTTTGTTTTGCTTTTCAGTTGTGACTTCTCTGTGTCCCAAAAGCTAGTGTCTTGGAATTGTTGTTTTCCTCTAAGCCTAAGGGTTTTGACCGCAGTGGCATGTGCATTCCGCCGGCCACAGCCCCTAGAGGAGAGAAAATTCCTAAAGGATGGAGAGGATATGCTTCCTGCAGGCTGTGGCTGCTCTGATTAATTTGCTATCAGAGGAGCACATGTGATTGCTGCCTCAAACCAGGAAGGATGTAGTTTGTGAAACCAAGATCTTGCTTCCCTCCTCCCTGGAAGGGAATCATCAGGCTTTTTACATAGGTTTTGGGTGTAAATAAACACTCAGGGAGTCAGCTAAATAGGCAGACCTATTGAAATGGTGGCTTGTCCCTAGGAAGGTGTATTTCCAGGCCTGGCTTCTTGTTTGGTTTTGGGCCAGGGAATGTCTAAGGGAGGCATTCAAAACATTCCCTGTATAACTAACTGGCTTCCAAACTGTGCCGGCTAAGTGTAGTTGGCAAATGGTGCTTGGAGTGCCATTCGTGACAGCTTGCACTGATCCAAGCTGTGGCTGTTGAATACTTCTTGCTTTTCTCCCATGCCAGCCCTGTTTTCCTTGTGTTATTGTTCACGTGGTCAGCTGGCTCAGATAATTGATAAAAGACTATTGGTGGTGGTGGGAGAGGAAGAAAGAGGGAGGTAGCGGAGTCCCAACTATGATGGCTTAGGCTGCCGTGGACCCGCTTAAGCAGCAGTTTTAATGTTGCTGTGAGTGGATACAAAAACCTGCTGTTGCCAGAAGGGATGGATGCTCCTGCCACCCCTCCTGACCATGTCTACTCACTGCTGCTTTCTTTTGGCAGAGATGCTCATCTCACCTGAGTTAGATCAGATCTTGATTCAGCTAAAAACTGCCTCAGCAGACAAACCTTTGTGCTGGCTTAGCTTTCCGAATGTTTTGATGTGTAGGTCAAAACTGGCAGCATGTGGCAGGTCTCCTTGTGCTGCCCTGCGAGACTGGACGGCGGTCCCGTGACTAGCTGCTGGCCTTGGCACACACTGGGCCTCCCTGAGGCCCGGGGCCGCTGGCCAGGCTCCCAAGCTTGTTTCTGTACGGCAGGTAGGTGTTGTGTACGTGCTGATGGTGCAGCACGATCCACTGCTCTCGGCGCAGAAGGGCATATCCTGCTGTGCTTCTGGGGAAGCGCTGGCTGAGAGTGGCTGTGGAAGCATAGCTTAACTTTTGCTCCTTCTAATCCACTTCTCTTAGCTGTGGTTT